TTTACCATCTAGATCTTTTCAAAACCTTTTTAAAATGTCATTATTGTTATTTACAAGGCGATCCGTTTTAAATCGACATTTTGGACTGGCTCCATTTCTTTACAATTACCAGCGACAAGTAGAAAAGCGAACGACACGGGACATTGGTTTTGTTAGATCTTTTAATAAGTATTTTCCAAAAATATGGCTTTATCGAAGGTTCGAAAAGATTGAGACTAGTGGGCTTGTCAAAACACAGTGTCGAGATCAGACAAGAAATTTTTCTCATTCTAAAGGTAACACCCTGGAAACGATACATATTAAAGAGTGAAAAACATGTTTTTGCATTCTTCTAATCGTCTACTCGGAAACGAATAGTGACAAATCATAAAGAGATATCGCCGCCGAAGGAAGACGAGGGGTAGGGTAAATTGATTCCTTATTTGATAGTGTATTCATTTTCATCTACTAGTACATCCAAAATCATTTTTAACAAACTTCACTTAGCGTTAAAATTAACTTTATCACCCGCGAGGGGGATAAAATATCAATAATGGCTAATGAAGGAGATAGCATTATGGATATCACGCAGGCACATGACATTGATCTCGAATGTTCGTATTAAAGTCTATTAATACTGATCATGATAAATAGCAATTGTATCATTTTTTTTTTTTTTGTCGCAAATAGGCGCATGCGAAGGATCACTGGCGTGTTCCACTTGTCATGTTATAGTTGAACCCGAATATTACGCGAAACTAGAAGAGCCGACGGACGAAGAGAATGATATGTTGGATTTGGCGTTTGGACTGACCGAGACGTGAGAGCCAAAAATTTTCTGCGTAAGAGTATCTATTATCTTCTTACACTAATTACGATGTTGAATGACTAGCTCGCGATTAGGATGTCAGATTGTTATGAGGAAAGACTTGGATGGAATAACGGTCACAATACCTGCTGCTACGAGGAATGTTCAATTGAAAGGTGCTAAATTTTATTTCTTGTTTTTATAAATAGATTTTCAATAATTAACCGAGGAATTGTTACATTTAAATCCATCATAGATCTTCAAACCTCCAAAGCTATACAAAAATAAACTACGAAATTGTCGAATCGTACATACTCGCTTGCGACCCGCATTAGTAAAAAATGTTTAAGAAAAAAAAAATGCCTATGTCAAATAAGATCTAAATCTTCAATTTCAGCTTTATCGATATGTTTTCCGGGTATCATAACTAATCCAACAAATCGCTTTTCAACTGTCAAAAAGTTTTAAAGTGATTATGTTTATTACAATCTGAAATGAATCGAGCACTTTGAAAAAAGCAAATATCCATACGAACCTCCCCGAAACTCTTCAGTCTGTGCTAGAATAATATTCTTATACTTATCTATGCACATAAAGGTACCAAAAAATACGCGTCCATCCGAAGCTGTTATGCGAGCTTTCAAATTTAAATACGAACGTAGTTGCCGAATTTTTGGTGTGTTGGCCATTAAAAAAAAAAACGAGTATTAAATATGCCTCATAACAGGCGCATGATTTTCGCAAACAAAAAATATTGTCATGTGTTTTTCACCAATTACACAAATTATTGTTGAGTGACAATGATTTGTTGTAATTCAAAAAAATATATTCGTTCAAGCAATATTAACAAATTGTTATTGTTATACATTTTATCAAGTTACTAGAATATATGAAATTACTCAAAGGAATAGATTAAAAAAAAAGATAAAAAAAAGGAGAAAGAATAAAAAAAATTAAATTTTATTTAATTTCTTTTTAAAAATTCATTTTTTTAAAATTACTTCTTAATAAAAAATATTCTATTAAAATATTTTTTTTTTTAATTATTTAAGGAACTTAAGTATTATTAGAATTAGTAACAGATAACAAAAGATGAATATAAGTCTTTTGCTTCTATTCATAGTTCTGTAATATTTTTTTATGATGTGAAATAATGATATATTAATTTTTCTTTTTTTTAAAACTTTCTTGTCATTGATAAAAAAAATGGTATTTAACTTTTATAATTATTAATAATTCAGTTTTTATTCAAAAAGAAGTATAAATAAGAAAAAAATATTTTAGATAACTATTCAAGGTATTTTTTAATCAGATTTAAAAAAAGTAATAAAATCTTTTTTAGTAATAAAAATATAAAGACTTTTTATAAACATTTTTTTACATATAAGAGAATTAATAAAAGGAGTTATTGTCATATATTTTTTTAATTTACAATCATATTATAATAGCTTGTATTTATTGAAAAATTATAATAATTTATAAATTCTTTTATAATGTAATCAACTTATTATTATATATAAATATTT